TGAGCAACAGTCTGAACATTGCAGAAAATGTTTTCGTATGTTCCCAGCCACCCACAGAAGCTATTGTCCTCGAACTAGTATTGCCTTATGACAGCACTGAACACCGATGGCATGGCAATAGAATGCCCAGAATGTCTAAATTTAAAATCTATTATAAAAAAAGCCCTAAATAATATCTATCAAAATCGTTACAAAAATTAATAAATTATTAGCGTTCAGGGTACTCCTAGGTCATCGACACCAACGCACTCCCAGTGGGTCACCAGGAAACATAGACAATACTACGATCTATACCAGACGCAGCGCCATCAAAAGTTTAATTACCAATACTTTCGATGTGGAGCACACATCAGATTTTTGTTAGCGATTTATTCTTTTTAATTAATTACCATTGTTCATGACGTTTGTCAAAGTTGCATTTTTTGTATATAATAGTAGATTATACCACGAGTCAATAATGATAGCTATTATTCCCGAGGAATATTTACGAACTGTCGCGTCAGCGGCGAGGGAGTAACATTCCGATGGAATAATAGCCATTATTGCGAGTAGTATACTCTACTTTATTTACGACAAATTAATTTATTTGGGATTTTTAATGAACAAATATCATCCATCTCAATTCTCAATACAAATCCACAAGCACTAAACACGTTTGACACTGACACTTTTGAGGAATAATGACCATTAATCCCGCTACTCGTCATTATTCCCTGGGGGAATAACATATGTCATTATACTGCTAAAATCACAAGTATAATACTTACATTATACATTAGTCGTAAATAAATAGTTGTTAATTGTTTATTTAACAAAAATCAGTATTAATCCAACAGTGGCTCTTACTCCCGAGTTACCAAACTTCCCGGGTATACTAAGCCAACCTACTATCCACAAACAACAAACTACCAAGTGTTCTGAACATCCTCCTAAATTCCAATAACAAGAATTTATAATCTCATATATGTTAAATTCGATAGAATACTCAAACTCTAAGTTCAAGTCAGCCAAATGTAATGTCTGCCCACCTAGTCTGTGTCTACGGGGCAACGGTAAGGGGAATGCAGTTGTAAAAAAAATGGCTGATTTCATTCATAAAATACCCAGCTGCGTGCGGAACTTTTTGGAAATGTTATCTTATTGCAACTCGTACACGAAAATCGATAATGACCAAACCCCCGCCACTGGATATTTCAATATAAATCGACATTTCAAGATGGGAGGATACAATGACGGGAGCCCTGGCCAATAGCGAGACGTAAGGTGACGTTAGCACATTGACAACCACATGGTTCCCCGTGGCAACGGAAATCCTGCCAAAAACTCCACCAATCAGGTTCATACAGGCCGGATACTTGCCAAATTGACAAAAGCTGATGGTATCTTTAGAAAATGTCTATTTTTTCAATAGACTAAATTGAAGAAATCAGACATTAAAATAGGAATAGATCGAACAACGTTAAAATATTTAGCGTTTTATTATTGTTATCTATATTTTGTTGTTAAAAAATGGATTTTCAAATGAACTATACTTAATGCCTAGTATTTTCGCATTTTTATAATTAAACGTGACAACATCGCACACTTACGTCCGAATTCCTTCCGTAGACTCAGAACCGCTGGGCAAACAATACCTTTTAATTCGGTTATATTATGCGGTCACTTCTTCAAAATCATTTTTTTAAAATATGTTATTAATTGAGTTCGAGGAAAGACGCACCGGATCTTCCAAGATGGCTAAAGAAACTTTTAAATAGTTTTTAAGTATAAAAGCTATATTAATCTTATCGGTTGTGGTATTGCAAGTACCTACGTAGAAGCTTCGATGTCATTGCTTTTGAACCTCATTAAAATCGGATTTATTTTATCGTGAAATGAAAATCTAGGAGAAATTGAATAAAAGGGGTTTAAAAATCGACTACTTATTTAGTAAAATCCTCTCATTTTAACATGGCGGAGTCGGTAGGATATAGTCATAAGAAAAATGAACAACAAATTTGCTCCTACACATCATAACAACCCTTCAAGAAAAACTCGAACATCTTTTGTTTTATCTTGTTGTCATTGTAGATAAGTAGCCAGTGATATCTGATTACCAAAAGGTCTTGCTTTTAAGGCACAGTTAATTAAATATCGGAAAATAAACCGAAGAGTTTCAGTTTCATTAAAAAGGGATGTAGCCCAGGTATATTTAGACCCTTTGAAATTTTTTTGATGATGGATAATAAGAAAGAAAAACAAAGTGGGGCGCCATCAGTTTGACGGCATAAAAGCCAACGGCATTTTTTCAGACGAAGGGAAAAAAATATCTTTTTCCCGTCGCTTTGGCAATCCCATTATCTCATTTAATGTCGTTTCTATGTTTTCCGTCTTGCTGTTTTTGTGCCTCTGCTTCAAGAAAAAATACCTACGCTCTATATATAATATCATCTTTCTGGTCAAAAGGAACATGAAACTAGGAAACAAGGGGAACAGTGGAAGACACAAAAGTAATAAGCTCAGCTTCTTTAGATCGGAAAGTTGACTTTGGATGAGATCATTCCTTTATGGAAAACAAAGATGTTTTATGCTTTGTACACTCTAGAATAAACTCTTGATACGGAAAATTTGAGCCTAACGAGGATGGTTATTTTGGAAAACATGGAAACCATAACAACTCTGACATTATCTTTTAAGTATTATTGTAAAATAGCAGAGATGGCCTTTAAACCCGTGTGCTTGTGGATCGATTCCTCCGGGATCTTGAGGATGGTGGAAAAATCTAGGCATTGATTGGTTGACTTTTTTTCGTAGCTATAACAAAACAATGTCGGCGCCTTACTAAAAAGATATGGAAGTAAATTGCTGGGATCATATTGAAGTTCACTTACATAAGGTATCTGCTCATCGCTGATATTGAGAATCTCACTTGGAGTTAGAGGGTTTCTGATGAGCAACAGCCAATAGTCTAGGATCATGTAGTCATACCACTTGAATTCTAGAGGTACCTGAGTTGAACCTGAGTTTCTGTGTGGGTCGAACCTAAAGGAAACCTTGGTAAATTCTAGGTAGTTGGGTTGAAGATAGGTTATATGTTTTGTTACCCCCAATGGAAAATGAGTCCCTATTCGTGTGTTCGAGTGAGACTTCAGCTCAAGCTAATAAACTTAGAAAATAGCTTACCTTCAGTGGGGGAACTTCAGGCCTTGCTGGAAGGTTTACATCACTACAGTAAGACCGGAAAAGACTTATGCCTAGATAAAAGAGGGATACACGTGTTGAAGGTGATACATTTTGATGAAAATATCCAAACTCACCGACGATAAAATCGCATTCGGCTAATGGACAAGCTCCAAGCAAATCTGCGAAGCTATAATTTGGCTTAACCTGTACACCACGGCATAGAATTCAAAAAATGCTTCCACTATTATTTTATAATAACAAAACCGGTCTTGCCATTGGATTGCTTTTCGTTCACTAAATAGTAATGCCTGATCAACTACGTTTATTGTAATTATTTTGCAGTGTTACAAAATGTCATTACAAACTAGATATTCTCTACAATACATTTTATGACTTTTTCCTGTTGACTGAAACTCCAAAAAGTATAAAACCATTATCAAACAATAAATCATCCAAACGAGAGACATTATTTCAGTTTTAGTTCATTCAGGCCACTTGGACGAAAATAAGGCAAATTTGGAAAATGCATATGACCGATTATACCCGAGGCTGTGCGCTTTGATGGACTTCAAAAGTGCATGAAAGCAACGTTTCATAAGCCTTTGATTTCGTTTCGAATCGGCATGTCAATCGGTAGCAATATAATTTAAAGTTAAGGGAAGGACGCATTTCGGACTTTTTAGAAAGAGAGTTTTTACTGTTGAATATTTGACAAGTTTTTAATCAATTTTTTCATCGAACCAATATGGGAGGTTTATAATGTACTGGGGGAATTTTGCTACAATTCAACTGACCCCGTATCTCTCACGGTTCACGAGATTTCATTGATAAGCCTAGAATTCGGTTCACATTGTTACGCTTTCCTTGAATTCAATAAAAGGAGATCGAAGGCCCAAATTTCGTTGGGTCCAACCTCTCATTGTCTTTCAATCATAACGCGCATTTTCGTTTTAAAGAATATACAAAATCCATCCCAAACAATATGTATGTACATTCTATCAACCATTATGCCAGTAAGCAACAAAACGCCACTGTAAGTTTATACGTTACGTAGAAGCACGTGAGCAAAAGCATCACGTGGACGGTACACGTGCGGTCGAACAGGGGGGCAGAGCAGACTTTTTAAATTGGCAGCTGAAAGGAATTTATTGTTTTGAAATTAATTTCGTCTATTTAACTGAAATTAAAATAATTAAGCACATATTTCATGGTTGGGCTAATCCGAAATAATTTCATTAACAATAACTATGTACTAATTAATACTCTATTATATTTTATAAAGTATTACTGGAATTCAGCGAATTATTGTTTGATTTTAATCATCCATCATATACATTATTACAAATTTTTTGTGAAATAATGTGTAAAATAACTTCATTTTTCCAGCAAAACACACATCTAATTATCAATATGTTGAATTGTTTAGAGGACAATAATATATGCCTATGTGTAGATACTTCAATAAGATATAATGACCAGACAACATTGAAACGTTCCCCGATTAATAAGCCGAGATTAAATTAAGGCCCCTTTCATTTCCATTAGGTAATGATATGGCAAAATTGAACGGCAACGGAGCAGCGAATGTCGTAATTATCTTTATTCAGGATTATCGGGATTGCGACAAGGCGGATCCTACGACACAAATGTCTACGAACCTAAGCTAATTGGATAAACAACCACTCAGATTTGGTGAATGACTATAGTTTTTGATGGAATAGGTGCTTATTTTAAGGTTTCATAAAACTTTTAGAAAATATCCTAATTACAAGGAATGTAACATAGCTTGACATTAAAAAAATTGTACGCGTTTTATAATTTTGTTCCATTTGTTTCAGATTTTTTTACCTCTACCACTTTGTTTTCTACGCTTACCATTACCGCTTCAACGGACAATATACTGGTTTAAATTTGATCGTCCATTGGCTATTTATTCAAGTAAGTATTTTTTATCACTTTGCTCCTGCTCTGTTTCTTTGTAGGCCACGTGGCATCCTACTAAGAGGGTTTTTTGTTGGTCACCTATGGTTGCGCATTTTTGAACTGTGAGTCAGCTTTTGAAGCTATGATAAGGTTTGAATTAGGATCGTCGTGAAGAAGCAGATAATAATGAAACAATAGCGAAGTGGAAAGGGTTTAATAAGCAAGTAGGTATTGGAAACAAGAAATCAGGAAAAATTTCAAAAAGTTCAATACAGATTACTTCGCAAGTGTCACATTCAAAAGGATGAATATCCGAGTGCGTTAACATGTGCTGCATCTTTAAAGTGCATTTTCGCTTAAATTTTGCTGTGCAAGTGTCACATTCAAAAGAATGAATATTCGAATGTGTTGACATGTGCATCTTCAAATCGCCTTTTCTTTTAAATTTTGCGTTGCAAGTGTCACATTCAAAAGGATGAATATCTGAATGAGTTATTGAGTGATTCTTCAAATGGTCTTTTCGTTTAAAATTTGCTTTACAAGTGTTATATTCAAAAGGATGAATTTCCGACTGTGTTAATATGTGAGTCTTTGAACCGCTTTTTTGCTTAAATTTCTTTTCACAAGTGTCACATTCAAAAAGATGCATATCCGAGTGTGTTGATATGTGAGTCTTCAAATCGCTTTTTCGTTCAAATTTCGCTTCGCAAGTGTTACATTCAAAAGTACAAATATTTGAATGTGATATCAAATGATATTTTAGACTTGATTTTTCGTCGAACATAGGATTGTAACATTGAAATTTCCCATCAACATCTGCTCCTGATGAATTGGCGTCTTTTGAATATTTATGTTCTTTTATAAATATTCCTCCAATTGGATCTATTAGCTGAATTTCTGTCACATCTATAGCTCCATCGTCTAGATATTCATTCTTTACGGTAAACCTAAAAAAAATGTTTCTTAGATTTATAGTTGGATTTTGAAATTTCACGAGCTAGAGAGGTTGACAATTCTGAAAATAAACTCACGTGTTAATTTAGTCATAGTATATCTTGAAACAATGAAAGGAAAAATTCACCAAGTCTAGGTCTCAGATTATTATTTTTTAATTCACTTGATAGTTACACGTGTTTCGCTCATACAAGTATCATCAGACAGTAAAAATGAAAAACCACAGAACAGTGCATTTAAACGTGTGATAAAAAGTAGTGTTCTGTGGTTTTCAATTTTCTATGTCTGATGATGCTCGTATGAGCGAAACACGTGTCACCATTAGGTGAATAATAGTTATTTATACACGAAGTGAGCAAAGCACTCAAGGGGGATAAGAGAAACTAGAAACTGGGTCTAAAAAGTACTATAATTGAATCAAATCCAAGCGGCAGTAATGACATTAAAGAACCTAAATTGTAAACAAACACCAGCTGGTAATCCAACCTTCCTACTGGTTGAAACGCCCTACCAGGACCAGTGCGCATGCACGGAGGACATTTGATAGCTTGTAATGAAAATGACCAGTTAATGCAATCACTGCCGATTCGATGTGATTCAATTATAGAAAAATGGGCAACAATTTGAAAACAAACGTAAAAAAATAAATTAATTAAGACAAAACTCTGGCGATCGTCCAACATTTTCATAAGCAACTTTATGATGACAAGTTTGTCGAACATGGACCCAGTTCCTAAACTTCAGGAATCTAGAATATATGATGAATGCTCTCGTTATTGTCTATTAGCTGTGTTTCTCAGAAGCTATAACATCAACGGCCATTTTAATTAACCTTTCTTTAAAGATGACCCAGCAGATAAGATATTCAATTACCGCATGACTATTCTTCAGCGCCTTTGCCTTCGTCTTCTTCAGGGTTCAGTCCTACTTCTTCATAAACCTTTTCCAAGTCAGCCAAATATTCAGGGGCATCAGAAAAACTCACGTTGTTTCGTACGTTCGCCTACGTACCAATGAAATTATGGTCCAACCTTGTTACAAATAAAATATGGAATTTGTAATTTGTATACTTTAAGAAAAGATAACCTAGGGTCGTGAATTCAAAGAAAAATTAAGATAACGTGTAGCCCCTTTGTGTGCAAATGAAACCACTTAACATCCAACAAATAATAATTTTATTTTGTGTACAATGTTATGTAAAATGTTATTTTCTGTAAAATGTACAGTTGACAGTTTGGTTGTTCTGGTGAATCTGACTCCATATACCTTTTCAATCTGGAGCTCTTCATGTGGTTTCCTGTATCCAGGAAAAGGATAGATTGCTGGGGTGACGTCACTCCAGCTGATCCAGACTCCAAACAGTGATCTTTATGTAGAGTAGGTACCCAGAAAAGAATAAGGCAGTATCAGGTTTACCAAAATTTGGAACATTTAATTCCTGAATTCTGTCAAAAAGTGAGTGTCTTGCATAGGAAATTGAAATTGAAATTTAGTATAAAATGATTGTTGCACACTCCTTTCAACAGAATCAGGTATAAAAATTATTGCAAGAAAAAAAAATTAATATTTTAATATAAAAAAAAAATTGAATAATTAAGAATAAGATAAGATAATGATAATAGTAAAATAAAATAATAACAAGATTTAATTTTAATGATTATAATGCTCGTTATAATTGAGCAAAATGCTGCTTTCTTGATAACAGTTCTGGCAGGCAAAAATACGAGCAAAAATAAGGTAGGTAAAAAAAAATAAGAAATGAAATCTCTGGATTCTCCCCTAAATAGACAAAATTTTCCTCTCGAATTAAAGTAGCTACCACAGATAAACCTAGGGTTGAAATTAATCAAATCCAGAATGTGTCATAATTCTTGAGATGTTTTAATTAAAACTTTTTAACTGAATTTTTGACCTGTCTGGATTTCTATTAAAAAAATACACCCTTTAGTTGAGATAACAATTTAGGGAGTCAAACAGAAAATGGTTGTTCAGGCCTCTGCCTGCATTCAATGGAGTTAATGGGGATGGACTCACAAATTTGGTTCTCACCGACTCTATTTAGAGCAAATGGTCCAATATTCCCACACTAAAAATTGATTCTGAAAGCCAGAGCAGCAGTACCTATTTAAAATCCAAAAATCTGTGTTGACTTAACTCTTATAACAAAACGTGGCACTAATCAATAAGCAATCTCACAAAATGGAAGCCAACAATTAGATAAAGAAAACTTAAAATATAATATTTATATTTCAAAAACAGATAAGATAAGATTTATCAGGTAAAAACTTAATAAAGATATGATAATTTGAATATTGAAATATTTATAAGGGAGGATCCAGAAACTTAAAGCACAAAATTATTTTAAAAATACTTGCCTGCCAGACTATTTTTCAAGGAAAGAGAGCGTTTTAGAAACCACAGCCAGGAGGAAAACGATCCCGTGTTTTTTATACTTACTGCATTCCAACCAGCTTCAACCAATCAGACGAGCACACCCAAAAGATCATATTCACTTCAAAATGAAAACATGATGAAAGACCGCATGGAATAAAAGAGAATGGATAAAAATCCACTAAAATTATTTCAATTGTTTACAAATTATAATAACTTAAATTAAGGGTATGTCAAAAATAAAAAACTGGTAATTAATTAGATCATTAAGCCAAAAAATGATTATTTCAGAATCAGAAGTTAGAAAAGGACAGAAATATATCCATTTGCTAAAAGTGAGATAAATATAATTTCTTTCAATGAAAATACAAATGACTGTCAAATGCGAATTAACCAAAAATCATACTTTGAAATATAAACCATCGGGCACTAGATGGCAGTACCGGTATGATTTGCATTTTACAGACATGATGAATAGATGGCAGCACTTGTATTATTTGAATTTAAATTTAAATTTGAATTTGAATTTGAATTTGAATTTGAATTTGAATTTGAATTTGAATTTGAATTTGAATTTGAATTTGAATTTGAATTTGAATTTGAATTTGAGGATATTTCAGATTATTTGGATGATTCTGAAATGGAGAAAATACTACTTCATAATGAAAAAAAAAAAAGAGATGGAACATGTTACGTAAATGATAAATTTATCGTAACAACCTAGCTCAGGCTTCAGCAAAAGCGGTAATGTTGGATAACATGCAGGCGGCACGTTGAACTTTGATTAAATGAACCACATTTGGGATCTGGTAGTTGATACCAACCGCATCAGGCTACTACTTGAATGGAACACTCGGATTGATTGGGACAATGGTGGCATTGACATCCTTGAGGACAATATCTCCTCTGAACAACAGGTGGAACCATGGAAATCAGAGAAGTCTTCATGGTAAGCCTCATCAACTCCTTTGACACCGGAACGTTATAAATTACAGGAGCAGAAGGGCGCTGGGAGGCTCCTATGAAACCATCGATTGCTTGCTCAAAATGAAACTCCTTCTAGAAAAGTTTATGAAATGAAACGAACCACTAGTGAATCAGAAAAAAAAAATCGAATTCTGGATTCTACAAGAACCAAAGTAGCAGAAGCTCTCTCAACTGTCTAGTGAAATATTTAATTAGAGATCACTATGTGTGAGCGACCTTATGCAAAATGGTTTTCATTATTGGGAAATGGACTAAGAAATAAAATAACTTGTTAATTATCGAACACAGCGTGGAAAGTAAAGCGTGTGAACTCATCGAACTAACTATAGGAACTAACTCAACATTAAAAAACAAAGAATTACGAACCCTTTCTTAAGTAAACAATTCTTCATCTGTTCATCTTAATATAAAAACTATTAGAAACACATTCAGTCATCCAAAGCTGCTATATAAATTAGCAAAGTATAGGCTAATAATCAAAGTTTAATTTATTAGTTTTTGATTCACTAATATGAATATCAGTTCATCCAATACTCATAACCTGAGGAAAAAAAGGATTTTTTTTGAGACCAAAGGTCGGTGACTCAATGGAATCATCTGAAGGTATATTATTTGAAAATTATGGAAAGTCTGTGACAAATTCAATAACAATTGAGTGAAAAAAAAATCGACTCGCCTTTTTC